GAACATACTCTGTTGCCTGCCCCAGCAGGCGGACGGGCAGGAAGACCTCCTGGAGGAGGTGGAGGAGGCGGAGGAGGACCACCCATGGCACCAGGCGGCGGAGGAGGAGGAGGCGGCGGTGGTGGAGGCATCACGGAGTCGTTCTATGTCCTGAACTGCGTGGGATGGGGTGGTTGAGGCTGTTTTGCGGAAGAACAAGAGATAGCCGGGGTCTTCGGACTTGGACAGTGGGGTGCCGACCTTGAGTTCATATACAAATCCTACGACACAGCCTGGGGAGGCAACAGTGAATGTGAGGACCAGCCAAGGAACGGTTATATAAAGGTCAAGGTTGAGCCCAAGGTAAAGGTACTGAATCAGTTTCAATACCCCAAGGCGAGAGCCACTTCATGTTTCGTCATGGCCAATGGCACGCTTACGCCGCATGGAAAGAATGGAAGGCAGCACCGCTACTTACAGTGGACACGCTGGGCATGGATGGTCTGAGCTGCGCCCCACTTTCTTCTAACCCAAAGTTTCTGAACATATCTCGGGCTTCTATTACCATATAGACCTTCATTGATGGGACCATGACAACATTAGCCAGAAATAAAGCGATATATTTCACTGACTAGGATGAATATACTTATTTGTGAAAGATATGAGCAGATAGCGCCTGAGCCTGTCTACCTAGGTATTTAATAAAGGGCGATATGACTTATAAAGTTGGCTTCCACTAGCCTATCACAATGGCCAATCACCGACAGGTGGGGCTTCCCGCTCGCGTATCATGGCTGCGAAATCAAAGTTGGTTTCTATATAGCATCAACGACAAACAAGACAGGAAGGTTTCTACTCATGAAGGACGCGGGCAATTTGGGATAGAGCAACGACTGGGGCTTCTTGAAACCAAAATTGGCCATTATCCCTTGCACACACAATCATGTCACGAGTCGGTACCCGACATATTGGCAATATCTGCCATCGATGCGCTTTTACGCCAGCACCGACAATCGCAAACCAAGCCTTCGTTAGCGGAACACTCCTAGCTTCCATTAGCCATGGGAGAAGGACAACAATAAAGGGCCCGCGTGCACGATGGGCTGCGACCGCATCAACATACCCAGACCTCAATATCCAGCCGGCTGATGCCGATAAAGTCCCTCGACAATTGACTGATCCGACACAACTGGCAAATATCGTAGAGAGCACGAAGGAGAAGTTCCTGGCGACAGATGGAATTCCGGCGAAGCAGCTGACGACTGCGGCCCTTGAGACGTGCCTCAAGGCTGCTCAAGCCCTCCAACCTCAAATCCACAGGGCTGAAGCTCAGTCACGGACGTCCACATCAAAGCTCATGGAGTTGGGGGCAGAGCGAACTGGCCAAAGACCAAATTCTATGGACCCCCAACTTGCCGATAGCGTCAAAAAGATCTCGTACTCGGCCTATGCAATCATTTCGCAACCCAATGTCGAGATAACACCCGCCTTCCTTGAACTCTACGTTGCTATTCAGGCTTCGCTAGGCCGGCCTGAGTCGCTTCCTGCCGTGTTCGAGATGTTTGCGACCAAGAAGAAGCCGGTCGTCAAGAATGGAGTGGTCCAATACGTGGCTTCAAACCCCAATGCCGCAGTCAAAGCAATTGAGAAAGGCGTCGCTGATATGGCTTTGCAGACTGCTATTGACGCCAAGAATCTAGATTCAGCACTGGGCGTTGTTGAAGCTTCCTTCAGTCTTCCCGCATTCAAGCGTCAGAAGCTTATCAAGCACTCCACTACCCCTGCCCTCGCCCTTGGCTCTCTTCCCTTTGGTATCTTTGGTCTTGCTTCAGCATATGCTGCCTACTGGCAGAACACTATGGATATATCTACAGCAACGGGCCTCGGTGTTGCTGGCATCTCTGGATATTTCTTGGTTGTGGGATCAATGGGTATGATTGCCAAATTAAGTAACAAAGATCAGATGAAGCGTGTAACTTGGGCGCCTGGCACACCACTGCGTCTCAGGTGGCTGAGGGAAGAGGAGCGAGCTGCTATGGACAAGATTGCTTGTGCCTGGGGCTTCAAGGAGCCCTGGAGGCATGGAGAGGAGTCAGGTCCTGAGTGGGAGGGTCTCAAGGAGTACATGGGTTACCGTCAGATGATTCTCGATCGCGTTGAGTTTATGGAGGGCATGAGTTAGTTTCTCCGCTGTCCCCCCCCCCAGTGTACATCATATCTGTAAATAAGAAACATGGGTGAAATATTTTATGCTCTCCCCGAGTAAGCTGCACCCCATAGCTTAACTTTAGATGGTTGGCAAAATGACAAGAAAGAGAAGAACAACATGCGTAGGCCTGAATGTTTGGTGTATACCTCTTGCCCCAGACTACCTTAGGGGCTGGCCTCCGGGTTTATCTCGTATGCAAACCCATACTGAACAGTATTCCTGATCTCACCAACAGTACTTGCCAATGTGGACGGCGTATCAGTTCTTTCTAAGGAGCTCAATATGACTTCTCACTTGCTTCATCATTTGGAAGTACGACACTTCGTGTAAGACCTCGTGCACTTCTGGGCCCAACATAAGGATTCCAAGCTCCAGTGTCAACTCGAGATCCATCTATGCGTTGAGAAACATTATGTGATGATTTCTTTGAATTATAGAAACATAATACGACGGAGATGCGGCACATAGGGAGGCATATGCAGATAATAGCTAAATTCTGCTCGATTATAGTCCACATTGTGGAGCTAATGTCGACCAGAACACTGTCAGTAAGGTCAACTTTATATGTTTACACAAGGCACTTGCATGTTGTAACAAGAGTTTTGGTTGCCAGATCGAGGGTTGTCATGCGCACGATGGGTGTCACTATAACACTACCTAAGTAGAATGAGTTCACCTAGCACTTGCCTGGCCGGGTTTCATTTACACACCGCCACCCATGGTGAGAATCATCATGGGTGCACGTTTGTGCGCGACGGGTAGTTGGCTTATCCATATAGGCTGCACTGTTAACATCAATATCAAGGCATCGGTGCCGATGGAAAACCCGGCACTCGCGTGCCAGTTCTTGTTGAGGCCAATGCAAGTTGACTGGATAGATTTGTCTCAGGCACCTCTGAGCGGCTGGCACTGCGAGATTGATAAGGCTGAAGCCATAGACATATAACAGGCAATGGTGCCGATGAGGACATAACAACGGCTGCGGAACCATTTTTGGATAAATATGCGGCGATATAGGAGGAGTATCGATATTTTGGCGAGATTCACAGTGAGTTTGTAGAATATCTGAGCGACGTAAAATAACTAGAAGAGTTAGAGTTATCATCAAGTGAATTGACATTGAAGCTACCTATGTAGCATCTGCTACTCACCTTGAACATCATCATCAACTTGTCATCTGTCGTCAAGGTTTCAATATGGCGACCAAGTCCATAGCTGCAGGAAACTACCATAACAGTTTGTACATTCAAGGCCGAGGACTACTTCGTTAGTGTCAGCCCGTTGTGAGCACCAGGATCAGGCACGACTTACAAAAGATATAATGATGGTTATTTCGTCCCAATCCAGACTCGATCGCCTAGCTACACGGCTCCAAAAGCGAAAAAGGACAAAGATAGGCGTCACAATGAGGAAAGTAACACTTGGGGCATAAATAAGCACCGCGTTGCTCTCGCTTGGGATATCCTCCGAGATCATCATGGAAGATTTAAGACGTGAGGCATGTGCTCAGTGTTATGGTGACACTGGGACACCAGCACCTTAAAGAAACTGATCCGGAGAGTGATGATTTATAATGAAAAACTTGGCTGTTTCTGAGTCTCTAGACTTGGCTCCGGTTTCGACCGGGAGCACTATAAACAAGAATTTGCATGCTTATTGCTTTTGTGGAGGGGTTTGATGGTATACAATATATTAATAACACGAAAGACCTCCAACTATAGCTCTTAACATCTAGAGAATCGATTCTGGATGTCCTGGTACTCAATAAGTTATCTCAGCCGCCACAGTAATGACACAGTAATTACGCTTGTTTGAGGCCATAGATTTCCGAAGTACCCAGTCAGTTATATATCACTTCAAGCTATATCAGCAAATTGTTACCAAGAGACGCCCAGCCACCACGGGGTTTTCCATCGTGAATTTATTTCAGCAGATGAGAAACAGAGTGTTTTCTTTTCAAAATCTATCACATTGGCTTCATCTGGTTTTCGCAATGGACGATATTGTGTTACTCTGTCGGCCCCTATGGTGATGGACTCCACTTTGCTTCTCTTCCCTTCGAGTGACTCTTTGTAACAAGTGGACACAGAACGCTCCATATGTCCTAGATGGCAAGTCCAAACATCGGTAAATCCTGACGAATGGCGACCTGCGATCTGCTTTCCTTCTGCTTCACTTGGTTCCATCGTGTTGTTTGTTGCGGGTGAATTTAAGTAATCCAGTAGCAGCAGAAAAAAGCAACGACTAAGTCAACAGGACGGATTCGATTGGATTGAAAATGGTTCAATTCTCGATTGCAGATTCCATCTTATGCTTATAGTTGCTTTCAAATTGGCAATACATCATCTTGGTGTTTTTCGTTGGTGTCTCCTCTAGGTAAGTATGCAACATATAAAGACTTTACAAGACCAAACTAGCTGACAAAATTCTGTGTTAAATAAGATGAGACGTATGATCAAGAACATGAAAGCCTGGAAAGCCTTAATTCTCTTGGTTCATTTTAAATCATTTCATCCATTTCATAGATAATTTTTTCCAATTTCACATAACAATAGCCATTTCTGCTGTCACCTCAGACATGCTTCAAAGCAATCAGAAACACGAGGTTATCATGAAACACTTCGCTCGAGTTGCTGTTTTTAGACGAGGGTGATACCCTGTAGCTCCGATCGATGCGGACAAGGAGACCGAGCAAGCCCACATTTCCCGGCTCTGTACCCCCGGGGCCACCGAGTGAGAAGTGACAACGATCATCGAGAGGAGCTTGGCTTATCCCCATGTCAGTGTTATCTCAATTTTGTCTCTGCCCCGCCAAACTTCTATCACTAAGGTACTGGCAAACGCCGCTTTACTTGGTGGTGGATGAGAAAAAGAACAATCTAGCTTATCCGTGTAAGCCCAAACGTGACAATTTGAGCAAGCAGGTGCGAAAAGTCCTTTTAG